GCGACCTTCTAGCTGTGAGGCGGTGGTTCTAACCACTGAGCCACCGAGGCTCTAAATGTTCTGGACATTTAACCGTTCACATGTTTGCAGTCGCTGCCTTTTAAACCCACCGGCAGGTTTTTATTTTTCTACAGGTTCATTCAGCAGACGTCCATCTGAGAGCAGATCCAGCAGCAGCAGGGATCTGGTCAGGAGACCCGGATCAGGGCCATAGAACAGGTCCAGGTGTGACAGGGCGCTGATGCCAGCAGCAGGCTGCAGGGAGGTTCTGGATTTATGTTTGTTTGTTTGTTTCCAGTCTGTCCGGTGCTGAGTGAAGATCTGGTCTTCAGTCTGTTCTTAAACAAATTCACTTAAAGCTCCATTGATCAGACAGAAGCCATAAAAACAGAGAATCAGAGTTTTAACGTCCATCACGTGTTCTGTGTTGCAGCTCTGAAGGAAAATCAACACAAACTGAGCTCAAAGTTGTGATTTTGTTAAAACCACTTTGATCTAGATGTGGCATCAAAGAAAAACCTGCCCCAGTACCTGGATGACGGCTCGAGGAGACTGAGAGAAGTACCAGAGAGGAACCCCGAACAGGCTGAGCAGGGCGGCTTTGGTCTCGTAGGTCTGCGAGCAGCGAGTGCTGAGGATGCTGCCCCCTGCAGGACGACAGTCACACGGCGGCCGTCAGAACAAACTGCACGTTTTTACCAAGCGTGGCGTAAATCAGGCTACGGACGGCTCTGAATCCAAAGAACACATCAAAAGATATCATTCTGTGTCTTGGAAATGAATAAAATGCCTCAAACATGAACACATTATCGAAAAAATAATAAAATATTGGCAAGTCATTAAAATATCAACAGAATGTTCTAAAAAAAAAAAAAAAGAAAAAATCTGAATGTCCGAAAAAAAAAATCCCCCCCAAAAACAAATAAACATAATAAAAATAAAAATAATAAGATAAGGTTGACGGCAAACAAAGTTTTAGCACTTTTATTTCAGGAGAGGACTTTAAGGAACATCCAGCTCCAAAACATTGACAGTGAATCGATTGTTCAAGTCTGGTGGTTTGCAGGAGACTTTTGAAACAAAACTCTGTATGAAAAAATAGTCTAGATTATAAAATGTAGAAAAATATTAATAAATGTCCCCGAAAATGTTTAGAATGGAAAAAATTAATAAAAACATGGGAAAGAAATTCAAAATGTCAAAAAGAAAAAGTTGAAAATGAAAAAAAAAATGTCTGAAAAATTAAATAAAATCTCCCAAGAAGTGTCAAAATGTTTTTAAATAAATAGTTGTACTCATCAAACACTGACATCAAGACAACCAGCGTTTTGGAATGAGATATCTAAATATGCTAATGAGGTGTTCCCTCATTAGCATATGTGCTAATTGGCATTAAATGAGCTCAAATCTAATGGAATAAAATCCCAATGACTGATTTGTTGTTTACGTTAGTGGAAGCTGAACAACGCTGAGACTCTTAAAGGTTTGGTTCTGACCTCCGGACTCCAGAGCGTAGTCCGCCAACCCGGTTCTGTCCTGAGAAAACAGCCGCAGAGCGTTCTGGACCAGCACACGGACGTCCTGAAGGAACAAGGCTTCAGTGAGCATCACAGAAGGAAACCAGGAAACTGTTGAGCAGAGCTCACATCATCTGATCACGTCTCAACCACTCGGGGAGTCGTTGGGCTCAGAGTTCGTCCTGCAGCTCTTTGGGATCAGATTAATATGAA